ATAACTTATTCCTACCTCTTGATCATACATATGATCTTGCAGGTTAATATTTTTGAAAAGCATTCTAATTTTTGTTTTTAATTATTGCATTCATTTATTCAAAAGCCCTTAATGAGTTCTCTGTAAGTTGGCATAAAGTTGATGCCCTTTGTGATGGTACTATCAATCCACCATAGTTTTTAATTTTTACTAACATATAATTATTATCATTGGCTGAATTATTAATTAAGGAATTTATCAGTATTTATTCTAACTTGATTAGTTTAAATAAATCTTAATAATATTCATTAAGTATTAAACATCACCTTTATTTACTCTGTAAATGTTAATAAAGAACACAATGTTTAATTATATTCTTATCACTATAAAGGGTATTTATTCTAACTTGATTACTCTAAATAAATCTTAAAGATATTCATTAAGCAATAATCAAAACAGTATAACCATAATTTGCTTGCTCTAAAAATGTTTTTTTATTCATCTAGTAAAACATATATAAACAATAATTTAGAATATATTATAAATGTATTTATATATTATAAATATAAAACATAATAAAAATCTTAAAATTTATATGTTTCTTTGGAGGTCCATACACAAAATGGCCACCAGTCACTTCAATTTTTGCCACTTCATATTTGATTTTAGCATTACGATCAGCAGTCTATAGTATTAATGTCATTGATTTTAATAATATTTAAAATTACGCATAAGATGTTAGCCTTTTCTCTCTGAATGTTTGGGCGACAAAAAAAAATACTTTTCGAACCGAAAATGTAAAAAAATACATCTAAGCATTTTTAGATAGGAAATTTAATTCTGAGTACAATGATATAATAATATTCAAAATTACAAAATGTTAACCTTTTCCCCCTAAATGTTTTCGCGACGAATAAAATTTTTCTAACCGAAAACCAAAAAAAATACATCAAATTATTAAATTTATGTTTGTCATTTACTTCTTAATCCATTATTTACAATATCTTTATACTTACTATCAATTTAGTTTTGAAAAAAATTAAAATAAAAATATAATTTTAAAAATTCCGGTTTTTAAAATATCATAGAGCCTGTATTTTAGATGGGCAATTCCACTGACACCTGTTTTCAAGAGAGACGGTCTATGAGGTTGTGCGAGAACTTTAAAGACACTATAAACCCTGCTATAGAGGATTTCAAATACCCGATACAGTGCATAAACATCTGATTGAAGTTGGCTAAAGGCAGGAAATTTACCAAAATAGATTTTAAGCAAGCCTTTTAAGATTCCTATACAAGAAAACTCCAGAGATCTACTCAAGATTTCTACCCACAAGGGCTACTTTCGCTTCACCAAGCTACCGTTCGGGCAACGACCTTAAAGATGTCATTTTTTTTATTGACGATTTGCCAAAAACTGGTAGTAGCGACGAAAAACATATTGAAAACATCAAAAAAGCATTTGAAAGAATTCGAAATAACAGATTAACACTTAACATTTGTAAAAGTGAATTCATGAAGGACAGGATCACATTCTTAGGCCATCTGGAGGCATACACCCGAATAATGACAAAATTGAAGCCATCGCCAGCATGCCGGAACCAAAATCTAAAGAGGAGCTTGCCACGTTCTTGAGAATCGCCAGCTACTACCGAAAATTTCTGAACAACTTCGCCAACCTGGCTGATCCATTGTACAAAATAGTGAACAAAGAAAAATGGTCTTGGGATCAAAGTCACAAAAAAGCTTCAACGAATTGAAATCTTAGTCAACCACCAACGTTAAGCTTCTTCAACCCCAACTTACCTATTGGCATCGACGCATCCAAACAAGGACTGGAAGCAGTGCTATTTCACATAGCAAAATACTGTAAGGAAAGACCTATAGTTTTTGCCTCGAGGTCTTTGTTGAAAGCTCAGGTCAACTACACTAATATAGAGCGAGAAGCATTGGCAAATAATATTCTCCGTGAAGAGATTCCAAGAATATCTCATTGGGGTGAGGTTTTCTATTATAAACCACAAACCGCTGATATACATCTTGACTAAAGGTTTAAAAGATAACACTGCCATGGATGAGACTTCAAAAATGAAACATTGCGTGAGGGGTCTCACGATTAGAAAAGTTCATAGATCGGTCAAGCTCAAAGTGGTATCCGACTGTTTATTTCCTTTAGCTGCGGACAATGAAAAGTTGTACGTGAAGGAAGATGACGAGCCATGTTAGGAGCTATGGGACATACCGATAAAGTTCGAGAAAGTAGTCCTAGAGATTCAAAACGACAAAGAGATCACGGACGTCATTAGTGATATAAGAAAAGGCAAAGTCATACAAAATGAAACTTGAAAGTTCATGGAAAACAGATTGAGTATAGTTAATGATGATTGCCTTTACAACGAATTAAAAGTTATCATACTATCCAACATGAGAATGCTGCAGGAATTTCATAGAGGACACTTGAGGCACACAGGACAAAACTATTGGCCAGAGATTATATCTGGTGGTCCGTCATCGACACAGACATAGACAATGACTTAAAGAATTGTGATTCATGAATGGGCAGAAAATCCAAAAAAAATCAACAGGCATGGATAGCTGCTAATAAACCCTTTGAAAGAATGCATATCGATTACGCAGTGCCATTTCTTCAAAAAAATATTGGCTGGTGATAGTGGATGCTTACAGCAAGTTCCCCATAATTAAATCGATGAATTATATCACGGCTGGACAGATTGTCATCGAATTGATGCGAACTATGAGCTTGTATGGGTTACCTGAACAAATTGTGGCGGATAATGGCACAAACTTCATCAGTAAATTATTCGAAAAGTTTTGCAAAGATTATGGATAAGCGCACACTGACGTCAGCAAGCACCAGCAATCTAATGGGCTGGCGAGAGATGATAAGGACGTTTAAGACGCACATGAAAAGAAACTTGGTTTATAACAAAATCGACGAGATCCCCTGAGGTTTTTGTTCTATTATCGGAACACGCCGCTGTAACGGAAATTCCACCTAGCAAATTGTTGTTCCCATATACGACAAGAACCACTTGGGATTTACTTAAACCAAAAAAATAAGCGTCAATTCAATGGAGAAAGTAATATCGTCTGCTAGAACGATTCGGTGATAGTATGGTTTAAAACGTTCAAAGATAACAAATGGGGCAGAGGCATAATCACAGACAGAGAAGGCAATTTGACTTATAGAATAAACGCAGGCGACACTAAAGTAAGCAGACACCTGGATCAGATAAAAAAAGATCCTCGATAACAAGGATTAATGATCAAAATACACCCAGGCTATCAGTAGACCTATCGCTTCTATCTACAGAAGAAAAAGATGCAAAATTGAAGAACTAGCTCTGGGGAACGGGCGACCTATCAGAATCAAACAAATACCTAAGCATTTAGAAAATTTTATCATGAACGTCAATGGTGTTTCCACCCAACATGTCCAAGGAAAACTTCGGCGGGATTTATTTGGAGGGTGGAATGTTAAGTTCCATTTACCGTAAAGTAAAACTTTACGATATCGACATATAGACCTATACAAAATTTTTTTTTTAATGTTTCGGTTAAACCCCCCCCCCCCCTTGTTTACGCCACTGATGTTATTGATATATCTTTATAATATGTTCATTTTATCATGCACATTATTTTTGTATAATCGTAATAATTTTTAAATTCGATTGTGTTTCTACTTTTTTAATATTTACACTGAATAAAAGGTATATATTTCCAATTTAAATAAAGTGCAACTTAGTATAAATATTGATTATATTATGGCAGTCAAATAAACTTTTATTTAAGGTGATACACATAATTTTTAATTGTTTTTTGGATATTATCATATTCACACTCAAATTTAAAAAAATTTAGTCGGGTTCGGATCGGGTTAAAAAATTTGAATTCGGGCTCGGGTTGAGAAAAAATAACTTTGCAAACTTCTACCTGCGGTAGCTATTTTTTAAATTTTTATTATGATATGGCTTTGTTTAAAATTTTCTAAAACTATTAAAACAAATATAAATTGTAAGATAATACATGAAATAATAGTTTCGTATTTATTTTTATAGGCGCAAATATGATTATGAAAAATTGGAAAGAAAAAACAATTAGGAAAACTTTATGCTCGAAAGAATAGCCTTTTAAAATTTATTTAAAAAATAGTTATTTCTATCATAATTCTATCTTATGTACGATTATGAATTAAACAATAAAATGTTTTTTGTTGTTTGTTATCAAACAAAATCTCTGAAAATTCGTTTTTATTTTTAAAAAATCGAATTAATCGTTATTCGTATTACAAATAATGCAATTATATGATCTTAAATTTACGAATCGAATATCTTATTATTCGATTCGATCTTCTGGGGACCTAAATATAACACTTGTTATCAGAAACTATTTAAAAAAATATATATGTAGAGTTATTGTAATATATTACATTTATTATATTCATTTGCCTAACCTTGCTTAAGACCAACTATGTATTATAATGTGGACAATTAATTTTACAATATTTTTAAAAAATTTATCATTGCAAGTATCAATTAAAAAAAAAATTCTTGTTCTTACTTAGACAAGTAATAAAAGGAGATATATATAATTTGACCATTTTACTACATTCTAAATGTGTCCATGAAATATGTTAGCCTCAATATGTTATTTCTTCAGCATTAAAATCATTTTTTGAATTTATTCTTTAACAATCTGATTTTATCGAAAATGTATTCCAGCCTGTTTAAAATACCTATCCTTTGAATTTCAGGCAATTTAGCTATTTTTGAATCATTCATAATTTATATAAAAAAATCTATTGAAAAATTAATATGAATTATATTAAGTTCACGACAAATTTTATAAAAATCAGAAAGGTTTTCTATATTATGCGGAATCACATTCCTAACAAAATCATATTTTATTAAAATGAGCTCAAAAAATGATTTAAAATTGAAATGACACATGAGGGACGCTAACTTACATATGGTATATTTTCCAATTTATAAATGACGTCATTTAAATAAAATCATCAGTTTTTTTATTCAAAATAATATAAATAATTAAGTTAAAATAAATGGAGAAAAAAAAGTTAACAACTAAATTTAAGATATCTAACTAAATTGGAGAGATCTAAAAGTTGGAATGATTCAATAAATTTGACTAATTTCACATTTTCAATATGTTTCAACTCTTCCTCATCTGATTGCCTATAAAATAATTTCAGCGTGAAATGGCTTATATCGATATGATTATTAGAATTATTAAGTCTGTCATTGAACCATAATTCGAAAACAAAAGCACTACCAAAAGCCGGTTTTAGAGAGTATGAATAATTAAGATATGTCAACAAGGCATATAAAGTAAAATCATGCGCCATAAATACATTAATTATCTTGGTGTCGAGTTTAGGGTTAGTTAATGCAGCCCGAAATTCGCATTTAGAAATGTTTTTTGGATAAATAGTACATATTTTTATGTATTTAATTGGTTTGTTAATTATAGAATCGTTAAATTTATGAAAGTATGCCATGATTTCGATCTTGCGTTTCATGTCTCTTAACAAATAATTTACCAATACTCCAATAACGTGTTTTTGAAGTTCTCGATCAAATTTAACCGTGTTAACACAAGCTAAATCTGCGAAATGGGTTATTTTTTCAAAAATAAGCGGATGTGTTGAATGTTTTATCCAATCAGGAAGAAATTCGGGATTTTCGGCAAAATCACAAGCGAGGGAATCTTCTATTCGTGCCGCATTAACTACCAACTCGTCTAATTCAAACCCGGAATTCTTTGATAAAATTTCCATTAATTTTCGATTCCTTAAAGAATAACTTAAAAGTGTCGAATTTTCATTGAGTAGATTATTTGAATCGATTTCTCTTGAAAAATTTAAACATGTAAAATAATTAAATACTGTAAATGGAAAATCTATAGGAAATGACTTATTACGCGTGTTATAGGATTTGATTGGAACGATGTTCAAATGATCACGGATCCAACTTGAAATTTGACGAGTCCCAGTATCCAAAACTTCTCTAATATCATTTTTCGATAAATTATGGAATGGTTTAAGGAAGTCGCAAGATTCTTGTATAGAAAAAAATCCTTTAAAGAATGCGTGAGCACTGCTTATTGTTCGGCTTTTATTACTCGAAACCATGTGTACATTTGTCACGGGATCAAATTTTAAAGCAACATCCTTCGATTTACATGATAATTTTGAAAATTTTATTCCTTTGTAAATACTCCATTTTAAACTTAAATTTTGACCATAACGAATTCGGAACTGTTGACCCATTTGAAACATTTGATTGCAACCCTTATCAGTTAATTGTGATACACCATTTGGCCATCTCTCTAATTTTAAAACGTATTTTGGGTATAGGAAATGTTCATTTGGAGCTCTAGCTCCATGTCGAGCTATCAAATATACGCTCACTAAAGAGCCATTTAGTAATTCTATTGATGCATAAATTTGTAGTAATAAAAAAAAATATATTACATAATTTAAATACGATATATTCTATAAGATATTATTGGAGGAAATAAACCTGGTCTACTATTCAAATTTACTTCATTAGTTGAAATTTCATCATTATCTATTGCATTATATAAAAAAATGAATGATAAATATTTAATTAAATCAAAATTTTTCATAATTTTTTATATTAAAAATTAAAACATTTGTTTATTTTATTTTATATCAATTTATAACATTGCTTCGCATAAGGTTATTTTTTTTTAATTTGATAAAAAAATTTATTAAAAATAACACACAATAGGATAAGGATAACTATTATTAATATGATTTGTTGTAACACATTTTCATAATGTGAAAAAACATTCTTATATAGTTAAATAACTTTCCATAATTTGTAAAAACATTTTGATAAAATTTTTTTAAAATTTTTTTAATAATAAGAGTTTTTAAACTATAATGAAGATTTACGTCAAAGTTATATATCGAATATAATTTTTTTATGTTTTGGACCCAAGTTTAAGTGGGAAAATGAGAATAAAAATTTTCTAAGATTTTTAGAATAATTTTTTTTTTAAATGCATTATAAATTTTTTTAAATTTAAAGTATTATTACAATATATTAATGTTACTTTTAGTTATCTAAAGAATGGAAATCAGGATAAGAAATTTGATAATTTCTTAATAAACATAAGTGAAAGAAAATTCGAATTTAGGGTTTTCAGATAATTCTTATTTTTTTTTGGTTTTAAAATTAAATAAATTTAAAATTTCCTAAAATGACGCATACCAAAAATCATCGAGATGTGGCATTAACCATTCTACCCATAACGGAAGCCCCGACACTTCAATTTAACTTTCCGTAATTATTGTATAAACTTGTTGAGAAAAACATCCTTTTTAAAAAAACTTTTAAAAACTTGAAAGAAAATTTTGAGAAACACATTATATTTTTAAAAACTTCCGGTAATTAACTTAAATTAAAACCTATAATAATTCTTTCTTAAATTTGCGACAATTTTAATTTTAAACTTCTATATTTTATAATTTATAATTTTTTTTCTATAAAAACTATATTTCCATTTTTTTAAATGTCAAATTTTACTATCGCTAGTATTTTGAATCTATCTCCAGTTTCAGGTTTGTTAATATAATATTCTATTATTTACTAACCTTATATATAAAATTCTAGATACACCTAATGAAACTTTTAATTCTCTCGGGGGGTTATCTGAAATAACAAATAAATACCAAAGTTATTCACCTATCCCATCAAATTCCCTTAGATGTCTAACTGACATTACAAATCGATGTTATTCGAATATTCAAGAGCAACCAAATTTTGATCCTATTCGTTTGAAGAAAAAAAATGGTAATTGGAGCGATGAAAAAGGAATTGGCTAAAATATGGCTGAGCAAACCAATTGATGATCAGCCCAATGCAAAGACAATTGCCCATGATCTAAATTTATCCATTGGTTCGGTTTATCGTTTCAAACGGGAAACTTTTCCTGAATATTACGACGACCCTTTATCTGATTATATAATAAAACAACGAGGGCGGAAGAAGAAAGACACTACAGAACTTCAATCGCATATAGCTGAATTGTTTGGTAATAATAACGGCTATACAATCAAAAATATTATAGAACATTTACCGCCACATCTAAGGTTGAGCTAGTCAGCTATATCCAAATGCATTAAATTAATGGGCTGGAGTCGGAAAAGGGTTGGGAAAGAACCCGATAGGAGAAACTCTCCAGATGTAATTCAAATTCGAAAGGAATATTGCGACAAGATGATAAATATTTCTTTTGAAAATGCATACTTCCTGGACGAGACAGGGTTTAATACCCATATTATTTCTCATTATGGGTGGGCACCTTTGGGGAAACGGCCATCTGTTAAATTACCTCCCTCCAAGGGGAATAATATATCAGTCATATGCACAATAGGAATAAGTGGATTGAAAAAATTCACAATAATAGATGGGGCTTTTACTGCGATAAAATTCAAGGCATACCTGGATGAATTATTCGCACTTTTACCATCAAATTCATTACTTATAATGGATAATGCTCCTATACATCGAGCGAGGATAATTAGTGAGAATTATCCAAATATCATATTTTTGCCACCCTATTCACCGTAATTAAATCCGATAGAAATTTTTTCGGAGTAATTAAAAATCAATATAGATCAAATTCTCCTAAACCTAATAATCGAAATGAAGTTATTTCAATTGTTACGAGTATTTTAGCCAATTATTTTACATATAATTTTTCAAATTTTAATTCTCACACCATAAGATTTATTGAAGAGGGAATTCGATGCATTCCTTTAAATGATTGAATTTGTAATTGATTTATATTGTGCAATATTTTATTTACAAAGAATCTATATTAATAAAAGGCTTAAAATATATTCTGTCACACGATTAGCCAATAAGGCTTAAAATATACTGTCACACGATTAGCCAATAGAATTCTTTAAAAAATTCGTGCCTTATCAAGTCAATTATTTGTACCTGATAATAGTCAATTATAATTTTGTTAATATATTATGTAATATTGAACTTCTTTATTAGTTATAGGACGTTTGTCCTACTTAAAAAGGGAGTGATTCTTAATAATATTTAATTAATATTAACAAATTCGGATATTTAAGTTATGCTAAATTGTAGTTGTAATCTCCATGATATTTAGCGCCATCTATATTATTATATTTTATTTTAAATAGCATTATATTTCAAAGTGGAAATGTAAAGGTTTTGTCTTAATTGATGTCAAATATATTGTTCTTTCTATATATATCTATAATTTATCTATCTATCATAGCAATTTTAAGCCAATTTAGATCATATTAGCAAAATAGATTTAATCTCCTATAAATCACGGAAAGCCAGAAGTATTTTGAGGCAATAGGCAGGAAGGAACATTAGTATGAAAAAAATGTTTGCAGATAATCCTACAAGAGCTAAGGAATTCAAATCTATAATATATCTATTCAATAAAAATCATCATAGCTTAACCATATCAAACACGCATTCATAAACCAAATCGAACCGCCCTTTTCAAAAAAAAAACAATACTGAATTACAAAACATATAATAATATAAATATAATTACAATATAAACATAATTAGATATTTTTTTAACAGACACCACATCGAGCAAAACCATCATAGACAAGATACTATCATCATCATCAGTAAATTTTATTTTATACTTTCAATTTACACGTCTTATTTCCAGTTATTTACGGCAAGTTACGAGCAAGGAAATTACATCAAAAAATCGACACCACATCGAGAAACATCATCATCATCATTAAATTTTATTTTATACTTTCAATTTACACATCTTATTTCCAGTTATTTACGGCAAGTTACGAGCAAGGAAATTGCATCAAAAAAACGACACCACATCGAGAAAAACCACCATAGACAAGATACTATCATCATCAGTAAATTTCATTTTATACTTTATACATTGCCTATGAGATAACCTTAAAAAACTTATTTATAAGGTTATCTCATAAGCAATGTAATTTAAAATTTTTATAAATACTATTTTTTTAGATTCCTGCACAAAAACAAACTTACATAATAAATAGATATAATATTAAATAAGTTTTTTAAGGTTATCTATAGGCAATGTAAGTTAAAATTTTTATAAATACTATTTTTTTAGATTTCTGCACAAAAATCAAACTTACATAATAAATACATATAATATTAAATAGGTTTTTTAAGGTTATCTCATAGGCAATGTAAGTTAAAATTATTATAAATACTATTTTTTTAGATTCCTGCACAAAAAACAAACTTACATAATAAATACATATAATATTAAATAAGTTTTTTAAGGTTATCTCATAGGCAATGTAAGTTAAAATTTTTATAAATACTATTTTTTTAGATTCCTGCACAAAAAACACCATAATAAATACATATAATATTAAATAAGTTTTTTAAGGTTATCTCATAGGCAATGTAAGTTAAAATTTTTATAAATACTATTTTTTTAGATTCCTGCACAAAAAACAAACTTACATAATAAATACATATAATATTAAATAAGTTTTTTAAGGTTATCTCATGGGCATTGTAAGTTAAAATTTTTATAAATACTATTTTTTTAGATTCCTGCACAAAAAACAAACTTACATAATAAATAGATATAATATTAAATAAGTTTTTTAAGGTTATCTCATAGGCAATGTAAGTTAAAATTTTTATAAATACTTTTTTAGATTCCTGCACAAAATAAATCAAATACTGTAGATAAATTTATAATAAATTAAAAACATAAAAATAAGTTATTTAACATTTATGAATTATAATGATTATTGCACCAATAATTGCACAAATATATTTTGCAAATATATCATTTGGTAAGATATATAAGGAAATATTCTTCACACTTACCCGAAATAAATTTAAAAATATAAAATATTTGTATTAATTAAATTTTTATTTTTACTTTTTTAAAATATATGTTATTTTGGACATCGTTTATATATTTTTTAAATGGTCATTGGTTTATTTATTTGAATGGGTTAATAAAATATATTATCAATAGGTAATGACGTATAATTGTAAATAATATTGACATTGCTTTTAAACATGTATATATCTCTACTTTTAGATGAATTTATCAGTTATTGAGATTGGCTTAAGTGGTATTAGTTTTATATTTTGGTTTGTATTGGTATTAGTTTTGTAACCCAATAAAATATTGAATATTGTTGTCTGTCTTAGAATTTTTTATCAATGAAAGCTTAACCTACCCCCCTCCCCATCTATCACCTAACATATAAATTATAATAATAATAAAAGATGATACTATTTATAAAGTAACTTTTGTACTAAGTGATAAAAAGTAAAGGCACATTGAATATGACATGTTAGAAACAGTTATGTCAAACATCGCTATTCTGCTATAATTTAATTTTATACTACTACTGTTTATGTTTCTATGCTTGAAATTTTAAAAAACTTCAGATGGAAATATTGAAAGGTTAAATCGCCACCTCCGAGAAATAATGGAATACCATATCTTCATTTGAACTCCCAGTAGTTTCTTTCAAATGCATGGAAGATGTTTGGGTGAATAATGAGACTCTTTTTTAATTGCTGAAGATTATACATAACCCATAATATATCTCTGTCAAGTTATTACTTTTATTCATTAAATATTTTATTTTTTCTAGATTCAAAGAAATAATTTCTCTTCTTTACTTACTAATTTATCTCAACCAATTTATTATAACTCAATTCTTTCTTACCTTCCCCAATTCTTTACCTATGCTACTATAAAGTTTATCAAGTACCATTATAAATTATTTATTTATCTTTTATTTCAATTTTTAACAATTTTTTTTTTATACATTAATCTTATTAACTTAATTTAAATAAAATAATATAAATCAATATTTAATATAATTACAACTTCTTTCTTAAACAAAATTTAACTTTAATCCTCTCTTAAAACTCAATTTCATGGATATTTTATTATTCATCATTTCTCTTGTCTGCTTTTTGCTTTTTCAATTTTCCAAGTATCGTCTGCTTATTTTTTCCCCATTTTTTTTCTATCTCAAAGCTCAAATTTATTTTACAATTTACTTTAAAATTTATATTATGTCAATTTCCAAAAATCTAACAATCTACTCCTACAACATTCCTGGCCTACTTTCAAAAATAACTATACTTAGGAAACTCCTTGATCAATATGATATTAACATTATTTTAACACAAGAATCTCTTATTACCAATAATATAAAAAAAAATTAAGAGGTTTTACAATATTCAACTCTAACCTCTCCACTATCCACAATGGTGTTGCATTCATCATTAAAGACTCATTTCTGAAATTTATTTCAAACTTCATTCCATTCAATGATAGAATTGCTAGTATTACATTAAATTCTAAAGGTAAAAAAATTCACCTCATTAATATCTATGCACCAGCTAAATCTTCAGAATATCCTTCCTTCATTTCCTCCCTTATTCATCAAACCTCACCTATTGAAAAACCTTAACAAATCTAAGATCAATCAACCTTCCCCCTCAAATAAAAAATCTTATAACGTAAATAACTTAGTTATTCCTTCATTAGCCACCAAATTCCACAATGATTTAAAATCAATTTCCACTGACAATTCATGGCAATCTATTCAGAATACTATCATTAAATAAGCCAATTCCTATTTAAATATTAAAACAATTTATCCAGATTGGATTAGTCCCCACACCACCCAACTAATCCTATCCCTACCTGCCAAAAATAGAAGAAAATTAAAAAAGAATGCTTCCATTAAACTCAAATTAAACCAAATCAAAAAATCTATAAAAAAAGACAAACGTAATTACATTTCATCTAAACTCAACCTTATTTCAGATTTAAACGTTCTAACAACCTTTATGATGTTTTTAAAATTCTCAAATTTATCACTTCTTCTAATGAAAAAAAATTCATAACTTAAAAATTGGGAATTTTTCAATCAAAAACCCAGAAGACCAACTTAATATCTTCACAGACCATTACCGTTCTCTATTCAACTCCTAATTCCCCTCTTCCAAAACTTTTTCCTCAACTCAAATTCTTTCACACCCTCCTTTCCCTCTAAACAAGACCGAATTTATCACAATAATAAAAAACTTAAAAAATCATAAAGCATCTTCAGACAATACTCATAATGAACTTTTAAAAATCTTCCCAGAAACCATTACCAATCTTCTCTTTCCCACCTTAAATAATATATGGAACTCAGTCACTTTTCCACCCAACTGGTGTAATTCCACTATCATAAATCTCCCAAAAATCTCCACCCCTTCCTCTATCCACGATTATAGAGGTATTACCTTAACCTCCCCCTACTACAAAATCCTCACAACTTTCATTCTCAATCACATCAAAAAAACTATCGAAATTAACACTCATACTTCTATAGCTTCCTTTAGAAAAGGTCGTAACACAGTAGAATTAATCACGGCCTTAAAGATAAGACTTGAAAAAGCTCATCTTCTAAAAATAGACACCTTCATAATCTCCATAGATATCTCTAAAGCTTTCGACTCAATTAAACACGATTTTTTATGGCACATCCTATTTAAATATAAAATTAATCCACACTTTATCAAAATTATAATGTTCATATATGAAAATAGTCTTGTTAACATCAAACATAATAACATAGTCTCTCCTTTTTTCAAAATTAAATGCGGAATTACAAGGCTGCCCCTTGCCCTCTCTTCTTTTTAATTTAATAATCAGTGATCTAATTCATTCTTGCAACTTCTCAAAAGTCAACTGGCTTTGCTATACAGACGATATCTGTATTATTACAGAAGATTACAATTATATTAACCACATTCTAACAACATTATCATCCAATCTCCAACTTATCAATCTAAAAATTAATTTTAAAAAAACTTCTTTCTTATCTACTTCACCTAAATTTCAACAACTATCCTTCAACAATCAAACATTCCTTTTCAACAACTCATTTAATTATTTCGGTATTACAATTAATTCCAAAGGTTCAGTTAAACCAGACATCTCATCTGCTATTTCTAAAGCCTCAAAAATTTTTTTTTCTCTTAACAAATTTTGGCACTCCAATCTTATCTCCAACAAATTTAAAGTTCATATCTTTAAATCCTATATTATCCCTTCATTAACTTATGGAATTGAATCTTGGGATAATTCCAGATCAAATCTACACAAAACTCAAATTTTCATCAACAAATCCCTAAGAAATATTCTAAATATAAAATATCCACTTATTATTTCAAACTTCAATCTACTAAATACATGTAACATTCTCCCTCTTTACAGACTGCTAACTTATAGAAAAATTGAACTTCTATGTCATACTCTCAGACATAATCACAATAGCACCATTTCAGATGCTATCTCTCATAATCCCTTCAATTCAAAAAGGAAAAAACAATACCACTTATACCATAATTCCTGGTATGATCAAATTCTCTATATTTTAAAACTTAATAACGTCAGTAATCTATTTCTTATCAATATATCACAAAACAAATCAGACTTAAAATCCTGGCTAAACCAAGCCATCCTAGATTAACTCCTTCATTTTACTCTCAATTTCAAACAACCAAAAAACCAACACTTACTTCTTATTTTACCAATAATTCTTTATATTCATTATTTTATATTAAGTTTAATTGTTAATTATTATAATAATACAATAAAATTATAAAGAAATAAAAAAAATAATAAAAAATAAAGACAACAAAAAATAAAGACAACAAAAAATAAAACATTACACAGTCTCTTTCTCTTGTTCTTTTTATCTTTTTTCCTTCTTTTGCCTCACTTTTACTTACTAATCATCAATTTATCTAATATTGTCTCTCTTAACGGATGTCAGCTGTTCCGTGAGAGATACCGTAAGCTCTCTCAAATTAAACGGGCCCTGATAGTAGGGTAAATTACTATCAAAAATTTTTTTGTGAATCTCTGCTTATTCACGAGAGGTACCGTCATTCCTTTTAAATTAAACGGGCCCAGACAGTAGGGTAAATTTTCTGCCAACAGTGAATGCAAATTCACTGCACTGGAGACGCCCTCTATGGGGTGGTGGAGTGCCCACTTAATTGTGGGATGTCTCCACAGTGTTTGATAGGATAGGATAGGAAACTGTTTATGTTTCTATAGTCATATTGTATAGAAATCTTCTAAGTTATATATGCGACTTATACAGTAGCTACAATTGATATTTAAGTATTCTATAGAAAAAGAGCAAGACAGCGGGTATAATATACCTCATATATACTTACGTTTTATCTGAGCATCTTATTTTATATTTGAATCATTTATCTATTCTGTTTTACCCACGTTAAGTGGCAGATTTAGGGAAGTTAAAATTTTTATAAATACTATTTTTTTAGATTCCTGCACAAAAACAAACTTACATAATAAATACATATAATATTAGATAAGTTTTTTAAGGTTATCTCATAGGCAATGTAAGTTAAAATTTTTATAAATACTATTTTTTTAGATTCCTGCACAAAAACAAACATACATAATAAATACATATAATATTAAATAAGTTTTTTAAGGTTATCTCATAGGCAATGTAAGTTAAAATTTTTATAAAGACTATTTTTTTAGATTTCTGTACAAAAAACAAACTTACATAATAAATACATATAATATTAAATAAGTTTTTTAAGGTTATCTCATAGGCAATGTAAGTTAAAATTTTTATAAATACTATTTTTTTAGATTTCTGTACAAAAAACAAACTTACATAATAAATACATAATATTAAATAAGTTTTTTAAGGTTATCTCATAGGCAATGTAAGTTAAAATTTTTATAAATACTATTTTTTTAGATTCCTGCACAAAAAAAAACTTACATAATAAATACATATAATATTAAATAAGTTTTTTAAGCTTATCTCATAGGCAATGTAAGTTAAAATTTTTATAAAAACTTTTTTAGATTCCTGCACAAAAAAATCAAATACTGTAGATAAATTTATAATAAATTAAAAACATAAAAATAAGTTGTTTAACATTTATGAATTATAATGATTATTGCACCAATAATTGCACAAATATATTTTGCAAATATATCATTGGGTAAGATATATAAGGAAATATTTTTCACACTTACCCGAAATAAATTTAAAAATATAAAATATTTGTATTAATTAAATTTTTATTTTTACTTTTTTAAAATATATGTTATTTTGGACATCGTTTATATTTTTTTAACTGGTCATTGGTTTATTTATTTGATTGGGTTAATAAAATATATTATCAATAGGTAATGACGTATAATTGTAAATAATATTGACATTGCTTTTAAACATGTATATATCTCTACTTTTAGATGAATTTATCAGTTATTGAGATTGGCTTAAGTGGTATTAGTTTTATATTTTGGTTTGTATTGGTATTAGTTTTGTAACCCAATAAAATATTGAATATTGTTGTCTGTCTTAGAATTTTTTTATCAATGAAAGCTTAACCCCCCCCCCCCTCCCATCTATCACCTAACATATAAATTGTAATGATAATAAAAGATGATACTATTTATAAAGTAACTTTTGTACTAAGTGAAAAAAAGTAAAGGCACATTGAATATGACATGTTAGAAACAGTTATGTCAAACATCGCTATTCTGCTATAATTTAATTTTATGCTACTACTGTTTATGTTTCTATAGTCATATTGTATAGAAATCTTCTAAGTTATATATGCGACTTATACAGTAGCTACAATTGATATTTAAGTATTCTATAGAAAAAGAGCAAGACAGCGGGTAAAATATACCTCATATATACTTACGTTTTATCTGAGCATCTTATTTTATATTTGAAAATTCATTTATCTGTTTTGCCCACGTTCAGTGGCAGATTTAGGGAAGTTAAAATTTTTATAAATACTATTTTTTTAGATTTCTGTACAAAAAACAAACTTACATAATAAATATATATAATATTAAATAAGTTTTTTAAGGTTATCTCATAGGCAATGTAATTTAAAATTTTTATAAATACTATTTTTTTAGATTCCTGCACAAAAAACAAACTTACATAATAAATACATATAATATTAAATAAGTTTTTTAAGGTTATCTCATAGGCAATGTAAGTTAAAATTTTTATAAATACTATTTTATTATTTTTTTTAGATTCCTACACAAGATACCATTCAACAAAACCAAACAATGGAACGTTTCATACTACCAAAATTTAAAGAGCAAGGCATTATTGCTTCAACATCCTATAGAGTAAATTTTATATTTTTTTAATTTATATTGTATGTTAGCTGATAGCCTCAAGAATGACGAGGAATCAGATTTTTCCTATCTTATATTTATTAGGTGAGGAGCTATTCTAATATTTTCCATTATTTTTTATAAATATGTTTATGAAGTATATATTTAGTAATTTTATTTTATGTCCACAATAATAAATATTTTAAACTAAACTCATTTTTATAAAATTGAGTAATTCTTATATTTTTAAATTTTAATAATAAATCAACATAAGGAGAAAGCTAGAAAGAGACAGGCACTTTGTCGTAGCAAGAAAAGCAAGAGCAAAGTCTTATTCCTTCAACATCCAACCATCTTGAAGATACTGGAAATAAACAATCAAATTGTATTATTGCTTCAACATCCAATCATCTTGAAGATACTAAAAATCTAGAACAAGGCGAACATTACTGTGGGCCATTAAAATACTATTTTATTATTTTTTTTAGATTCCTACACAAGAGACCATTCAACAAAACCAAACAATGGAACGTTTCATACGACCAAAATCTAAACAGCAAGGCATTATTTCAATATCCTATAGAGTAAATTTTATATTTTTTAATTTATATTGTATGTTAGCTGATAGCCCGTCAAGAATGACGAGGAATCAGATTTTTCCTATCTTATAAGATGTGATTTCGAAATATATATTTATTAGTGTCAAAAATCAACACAATGGTTAAATGTTTAACTATATAAAAAAATGATGAGACTAAATTCTAATATAAGAATAAACTCAGAAAGAAAAAGTACTGAATTAAAGAGCTAAATTCAGAATTATAAAATAAAGTAAACACGGAACTGAAACTTGGATCTATATCTTTATTAAGTCACAGTAAGTAAAAATTCAAAAGATTATTTAAAATTAAAAAATCATAAAAATTACAAAGTGATGATCTATAAAAAAAATCAACAATATTTATTGTTCTCTAATATCAAAAAAATGACTGACATTTCTTTAAATATATATACTAGATAAACAAATACATATATATATATATAAATTGATTGACATTCTATTATAAAAGGTATCATTTATGACATGCCACCCCTTTATGGGCTGTGGCACGCCAAAAAAAAAATATATATATTTAACAAGGGCCGGGATGCAACGGATTTGGTGGGAGTCCTCACGACAGCAATTGGTTCTCCCACAACTCCATATCATCGATACGTGGGGCTTCCGCAGAAAAGGCGGACGTCGTCGGAGTAGGCCCGTGAATACTATCGACAGCTCGTTGAAGAATATTGTCGATGGGGGGGTTTGATATGCTGCTGGAACTACCACTGGAGGTGCCAATTAGAGCACCCCTGTTGGCCGACGGAGCCGGTCGCATAGGAGAACATGTAGCTGGCCCTTGCGTTGAGTCCACCATTCTCCTTCGATAATGCTTGGTCGATCGTCCCACGGCATTGTCATTGATTGGGGCTAGAGGCGGTCGTCCATCTCTACCTAGGTTTGGACACTGACTCCGAATGTGGTCATCGCTATGACAATGGAAGCATTTTCTTTTACGGAGCCCCCCGGACATCATAGAATTATCCTGCGACGTCGGTGCTTGTACCGTCATGCCGGTGTTCTTGGGTATTAAGGTGACTTGAATGTAACACGATCACAGATCTATTAAGCAGCTGGTAGTTTCCATGTAACTTATAGTCTGGAATATTTGGATATAAGATGCAACGGGAGATTAAAAAAAAACTTCTTCTTTTTTCTTTTTTTAAAAAAAATTTAAATTTTACACCAAGAAAAATTACTTTTTATATAAAATTTTATGATTAAAATCTAAAAAAATTTAATTTAATTTATTTAAAAAAAAAAAATTTTATGATTAAAAATATAGAAAAACCTTCTATATATAATGTTTATTCACAAAAAAACTTATTTTTATGCACACTATTTACGGCGCAAAGCACATTATATCAAAACAAAAACTATTTATTCCATGTGCTTTAATTTTCTCAATAATATTATTACAATATCCCTGGTGTAAGCGTCAAGTGAAACAAATAACATAACATTCTAACTCACTCACGCGAATCCCCCAAAATTAATAATATTCATTACTACTTTTAAAAATAAGTATTGAAAAATTTTGCAACCATATAACCGGGAGAAACAAATATTTAATACATCAACCATCTTCTTACCAAATGTTTAAGTTGACCAATATTAATATCACCAGCTATTTGAATACTCTTAAAAAAAATTTTCTATTAATCTAATAAAAGATAAAAACAAAACTTGTCTATTCAATCACGAAAACATCTTTTCATTACATTTAAAAAAAACTTTCTATTCATTTAATAAAAGACAAAAACAAAACTTGTCTATTCAATCACGAAACATTTTTTTAATAACATTTAAAAACAAAAACTTTCCATTTTATAAGCATATTTACAAAAAAATTACACTGATTCAAGAACATTCCTTAAAGCCACCCATGCAAGAAAAAAAAAACTTTCCAATATCATTAAAATGGTAAAAAGAAAAACTTTTAATGAACCTGTCAAAATTGAGCTATAATTGTAATCAAACTGACCCCCAAACCTGGGCATACTGAATTATTACGAATATGACCACTTATTCGGAACCTTGACTGACATGAACCAAATCACAAATTAAGACGCTTCCTATTTATCCCAATCTTACATGATCGTGATGACGAATCACGGTCACCCCTGTTATTAACAAAATTTCACTCAATTTCGAACCCCGGTTCAATATGACCCGACCCTTTTCCCATTTGGTTGCTCGATTGTCAAACAATCAGGCCCACACTTTTTGTCCCACAGCAAACCGTACCCCTAATTTTACTTCCATTGAGGTAATATTCTTCTTCTTTGGTTTTAAGAAATCCAAAGGACCCCGTGTTCGCCTACCTAAAAATAACTCAACAGGCGTAACCCCCTCTCGATTGCGAGAATTGAGGTATATAATTGAGACATGTAAGCCTCCTCTTTATGGGTTCCAGCCTTTTTAATCCAATTTTTAACAATGGCTACCATCCTCTCAGCTTGTCCATTCGAGCTGGGATGATATGGTGGAGCTAGAATGTGTTTTGTCTGTGACTCAACACAAAACTGTTTAAAATCTTCACTGACAAAGGCGGGACCCCCGTCAGACACTATCGTGTCCGGAAAACCGAACCGAGCATATAATTCTCTTAATTTTTTAACAACAATTTTTGTGGTATATCTATGTACTTCTGCATATTCTATCCATTTAGAATACGAGTCTACCACTAAAAAATATGTTTTTTTATCAAGATCAAAGAAATCGATGTGGATACGTTCCCAAGGTTTCTTTGATTTAGGCCAAAACTGCCCTACCTCTTTACGGGGCATAGGGGCACAGGCATTACAAGGAACGCATTTCCTGGTAATCCGTTCAATATCTTTACCCATACCAGGCCACCATACATATTCTCGAGCCCAAGATTTCATCTTGTCTCGACCTTGATGACCGGCGTGCAATAATTTTATAATTTTACTCCGTAATTTATAAGGAATTACGGCCCTGTTTCCCCTCATAATACAATCATCAACAATTGATAATTCTTTCTGTATTTTTTTATATGCATCATATTTGTTTTTCCAAGGTTTATCTCCTGTTAGACTTAATTTTATCTGACCTAGAACTTTGTCATTCGCCGTATTGGTTTTCAAATCCTCCCAATTGGTAGGACCCCCTTTTAAAATATAAGACAGAGAACGCACTAAGGCCTTCTCTCTATCAATGCTTATACTATCATTTACTTCCGGCCAGAACCCAACCTGGACAAAATATCTGGCAAATGATTTTCTTTGCCCCGACGATATCTAACTTCCACATTAAAACTGCCCACTAATAACAACCAACGTTGTAACCGGGGAGACTCCCTATTATCCTTTCGGAAAAGGTGGATTAACGGCTTGTGGTCAGTAAAAATTTCAAATTTTTTACCAATCAAATATTCACAGCATTTCGTCAAACCGAAAATCACGGCCAAGGCCTCCTGTTCAATCACCGAATATCTCATTTCGACATCCCTAAAAACTCGGGGAAAAAAAAGGATGGGTCTTTCCACACCATCAATTATATGTAATAAGGCTCCTCCAACACCTTTGTTGGAGGCATCAACAGCTAAAATAATTTCTAAATCATTGTTGAAACAGACTAAAATTGGCTCTTCCCCAATTTTTCCCTTTAAAATTTCAAATGCTTCTTGTTGCTCCATTTTCCAATCGAAATGAACACCTTTTTTTAATAACTCATATAACGGGGCAGCTACCTTCGCAAAATCCTCTATAAAACGATGATAGTAATTTACCATACCCAAAAAGGACTGCACTTCAGCCTTATTATTGGGCTGTTTCAAATTTAATATATTTTTTAAATTTTTTTGCAATGGCTTCACCTCAATCCCATTTATTTGATGGCCCAAATATTCGACCTCCATTACGCCCAAAATGCTTTTCTCTTTACTGGCTCTTAAGCCTTTACCATGAATTCTTTTAAAAACTTCCTCCAGACAATGGTTATGCTGCTCAGGCGTCATCCCTGTAATTAGCACGTCATCCATGTAATAAAATACACCCTCTAGTCCTTGGAAAACGGACGCCATGGTGCGCTGAAAAATAGGCGCTGACACACTCAACCCAAATGGTAATCTACAAAAAGCGAACAACCCTTTGGGAGTCGTGATCGTCAATAATTTACGAATCTCTCCCTCAAAGGTAATTGTAAATAGGCTGACGAAAAATCAACCTTTGAAAAATATTTCGCTCCCTTCAACTGGGCCAAAATTTCCTCAATTCGAGGTAAAGGATATTTAACTTCTGCTACCCATCGATTAACGGTTACTCTGAAATCAGCACAGAGTCTCAATTTACCATTTGATTTCTTAACCGGTACCAACGGGGTTGCCCATACACTATATTCCACTGGAACAATAATGCCAACTTTAACCCACTGATCCAATTCTTCGTCAATTTCCTTTTTCCATTCAAAAGGAACTCGTCGACACGCTAGAAAAATAGGTGAAAATCCCTCCCTTAATTTTATATCTACTTGATAATCATTAAGACAACCTAATTTGTTTTCGAAAATTATTTCCTACTTCTTCATTAAACGAGAAATATTTTCACTCATTTTATGTAATTCATGAATACCAATAGCAACCATTGGGGTTTCATCAATGCTAATGTTGTTTTCAACCATTAATTCCGTGGACTTTACATACCTATCAGAATTACGGGTTGAATCATTTTGTTTTACGGTTAAATCCTTCCCTTCTATTTCATGGATATTTTTTCGAGCGTTATAAGCAATATTTTGGTCTTTCGGTTTAATTATGGCCGAACCATTATGTAGGGCAAAAATATTTTAATAATTACTGAAAGGGCCTAACTGAACAATCCAATCCCACCCCATGATGGTTTCCACATCTTTCTTTACTACCCATAAATCTAGGAAAAATGTGATATCATGGAGAATTACGCCCAATTTAGTTTTTCCCAAAACTACTATCTCAGACCCATCAAATTGTCTGACACACATAGATTCTTTCTCGAGCTTACCTTTAGGCCAATACTTAAAATAATTTCTTCGAGACATTATAGAAATGCTAGCCCCTGTGTCGAACAACATGTCAATATCCCTCGAGTCAACTCTTACGGTAACTCTTGGACAAGGACAAGGTTCGACTAATCTCTCAGTCATTAAAATATCATATGTTTTAATTGACTGATCAATATTAATCTCATTTGAAACATCAGTTTCATGAGAATTCTCATTTGAACATAAATTCAACTCGGAATTTAGTGGTTCCTTAACAATATTCATATTTTTTTTTGCAATATAACTGGGATATTTTTCCCATCTGGAAGTATTAATATTCCTTTCATCGGAATATTTAACAATACCCCTAGGATATTTCTCCCATTTAAAATCATTAGAAACTTTATTATTTTTATCATCATGACTAAAAAAATTTCGGTATAACCATTGCTTTTACGAGAATTATATCTCATTTCAGCATGGTTATTTACTTTATTATCATTTTTCCATCCCGATCTCCTACCTACTATATGATTACATTTGCAATCATATACTCATTTGATACAGTTTATGGCTACATGTCCCGGGTTGTTACATTTAAAACACAAACGGGATTTGCCATAATTCAATCGCAACGACTCAACTTTATTTACATCTAGGCATGAAATTTTCCTTACGTTGGAATTTTCTTCACTAGACCTTTGCAGTGGAAAACCCATTCTAAAATTCTGTTCCTTAACAACACAGGTTTTAGAATAATGTCCCTTGTATCCGCACCGATTACAAGTTATGTCCGCAACAATCTTTGGAAAATTCTTTCCATTCGAAATAATTCTATCACCGAGTTGTTTCTTGTCCCCTTGATTACTCATGTTAATCAATTTAGATAACTCACTATAAATATCTTTAATAGATTCTTTTATATCCTTTAATTCCTGGAGGTCAACTACTGACTTCTCCACTAATTCCGAACGATCATCGTTATTATCTTTCATCGTTTCCACCTTTTCAGGTCTGTCGTTCTTGATTTCATTTAAAATTCCATTTAAACTACTTTCCAAGACCGATTTTCCAACAATCTGCCGACACCGAAGTGTCTATTTTCCAATTATCATATACTTTGGTCGCAACCAGAGTACATTTTCCAAACAAAAATTTTATTACAATATATATAACATACAGTATGACCAACAATAAAACTGTCACTAATGAATTATTCACATCAAATTTATCAACCATTTGATACAAATCTTGATAATTAATACTCGGATACTCCGAAATTTTATTAAAGAAGCTAGGCTCACTATCAAAATTAAATATAAAGCCCATCTCATTATATGAAAAATTTATATTACTTTAAAACGGTCGTGTTAAATTTCTAAAAATTTACACAAAAAGGTGATTGCGTTGTGTTCTGAATAGAGATACAAAATATAAAATACAATATTTTTTACCTTAAAATACCGAATAACCCTGGAATCGAAACTATCCTGGTAGTCGCGGTCAACAAAATGTCAAAAATCAACACAATGGTTAAATGTTTAACTATATAAAAAAAATGATGAGACTAAATTCTAATATAAGAATAAACTCAGAAAGAAAAAGTACTGAATTAAAGAGCTAAATTCAGAATTATAAAATAAAGTAAACACGGAACTGAAACTTGGATCTATATCTTTATTAAGTCACAGTAAGTAAAAATTCAAAAGTTTATTTAAAATTAAAAAATCATAAAAATTACAAAGTGATGATCTATAAAAAAAATCAACAATATATATTGTTCTCTAATATCAAAAAAATGACTGACATTTCTTTAAATATATACACTAGATAAACAAATACATATATATATATATAAATTGATTGACATTCTATTATAAAAGGTATCATTTATGACAATTAGGTGAGGGGCTATTCTAATATTTTCCATTATTTTTTATAAATATGTTTATGAAGTATATATTTAGTAATTTTATTTTATGTCCACAATAATAAATATTTTAAACTAAACTTATTTTTATAAAATTGAGTAATTCTTATATTTTTAAATTTTAATAATAAATCAACATAAGGAGAAAGGAAAGAGACAGACACTTTGTCGTAGCAAGAAAAGGCACGAGCAAAGTCTTATTCCTTCAACATCCAACCATCTTGAAGATACTGGAATTAAACAATCAAATTGTATTATTGCTTCAACATCCAATCATCTTGAAGATACTGAAAATCAAGAACAAGTTGAACATTACTGTGGGCCATTAAATATTCTATGCCCATATCGTAATGCATTAAATTTTATTTCTGAAAAACCATCTAATGGAAAATTTAAAAATTGCTGCCACAAAGGTCGTGTTTTATTGCCTTCTCTACAATATCCAGATTTTTTAAAAGATTTACTTTCAAATTTAGACAATCATTATTATAAAAATTTCTCTCAGAATATCCGCTCATACAACAGCTCCTTGGCCTTTGCCTCGATGGGGGCTAAAAATGATAATTTATTAAATAAAGGCCCATACTGTTTTAGGGTTCATGGTCAAATTTACCATCGAACTTCACATTTATATCCTCCTAACGGCGTTTCCCCAAAATATGCACAATTATATGTTCTTGAAACATCTCAGGCTATTGAAAATCGTGTACTTTTAAAAGAAAATTCAGCCTGTGATATTCATTTATTAAAAAAACTTGATATTTTAATTCGTCAAATAAATCCATATGCTATTAGCTTTCAAACATTGGGTGAGGTTGAGAAGGCCGAAGAAATGAAATATCGGTTAGAAAACCGTCCTATATCAAAGGTAAATATGATTTTTCGCCGTGATCGTGCTAATGATAGAAGAAGATTTAATATTCCTACCAGAGTTTCGAACCGTTAAGCATAACGGTTCGGTTTGTTCCGGTTTTTAGTTTAAAATTTTATAAAGATTTTGTTCCATTTCGGTTTTTTTAAAAAAAATTCATATCGGTTCGGTTCGGTTTATAATTTATAACGGTTCATTTCGGTTTGTTCCGGTTTTTATAAATTTGATTTTAAAAAAAATTAATCATTAACCATGTATATATTAATTTTAGAGAAAAATCTTTTCAATTTATAATTCCTTATTTAATTTAACCATGATAATCTAATAGATATTTTTATTAAACTTAGTAAATATAAATTAGACAAATTAATTTTTTTTATTTCATAAATAAATAAGATAAAAACAAACATGAGTAAATACAATGATGAATAAAATAACACATAAATATAATAAAAGGTATACTATTTATGTTTAAAAAGAGAATTAGAACGGATGACTAAAATATTTTATAATATTTCAGGATTTAATTTAGTTCCCTGCGCAGAGAGTATAAACTTAAGGCTAGAAAATGCTCTTTCTACGGATACCTGCATAACTGGAACTGCTCACACTATAGCTAACTTATAAAGTTCTGGCATACTATTCTTTACATTTTCCCAATAATTCAAAAGATTAGTATCTTTTTCTAATCTCTCTATATTATCAAATGATCGAATTATATATTCTATTTCTATACATTTATTATAATTTTCTATGCCCTGAGAATTATTCTTATTAAGACTTTTATGCGACTTTAATAAATCTTCAAAATCATCATCTAAATTATCTTTCGAATGCGAACACGTAGGCATAGTATTTAGAATTTCAATATTCTGATTATTCAGACTTTGTATCAAGTTCCAAGTTTTACAAAGATATTTTCTGGCGATCTCTCTTTCTTCAAATGTTAAAAATATTATTTTAATAATAAATAATTTATAATGACTTTAATGAATATTAGAATTCTGAATTTAAAAAAACAATATGATTATAAATAAAAAATTATCATATCATTAAAATATTGCTGACCATTGTATTTATTGTCATTTAAATTCAATGATCCAAGTTTTTATAATGAGATAAAAAATAAACCATATAATATAAAAATGAATGTAAAAAGTACTTGATTTCTATTAGATGTTAGTTATTAATAGTAGATTTATTTAATTTTTTCCTAAATTATTAGCAAGTATTATTATTAAAGCTTATTAATAACTTATATATATAAACTTGTTAATTTAGCCAAGAATAATTATGTGTGATTTTAAGATATCTTATCTAATTAACAGATAATTAGCCTAATCTCTAATAAAATAAGTATTTAAAGAAAAAAACAATAAACTTGGTTGGTATTAATTGATATATAATGTTGATAATATAAAAATATTTAATTTGAAAAGAAATCACCAATTTATAAACTTCCCCCAAGGAAAATTAAAATTTAGATTAATAATTTAAAATTAATTATTTTTTAAAACCGTTTTGAACAGGTTTAAACCGGTTCAAAATATTTATAACGGTTCGGTTCGCTCTTTTTATATTTTCTTTATAACGGTTCGGTTAAGGTTACGGTTCAGAAAATCATAACGGTTCATTCCGGTTTGGCGGTTCGGTTCAGTTCGGTTCGAACCCCTGATTCCTACTATTGATGAAGTAGCAATGATTTTTAATAACGATGATGGAGAACCACCTTTTGAACGTGATGTTAAAGTTTATCCACGAAATGATGATTCAAATTTAGTTATCTTAAATATTCTTAGCCCAAATTTAGATCCTATGGTGTATCCTTTACTATTTCCTTATGGTGATCATGGATGGCATACGGATATGAAATTTAATGGGCCATTTAACAAGGGAACAAGATCAAATATAACTATGTTACATTTAAAATATCAAGGTTAGCTATTCGTGCTAACATTTTTAATCCTATTCTTTATGCTGGGCGATTATTACAACAATATATTGTTGATTCTTACCTTCAAGTCGAAGCTAATAATTTGAATTATATAAAATTAAACTAATCAAAATTACGTGTAGAGGAATATTCAGGGCTTATGGATCATATTTCTAAAGCAAATGATAATACTAATTTACCTCTAGGAAAAGCCGTTATTTTGCCTTCTTCTTTTCAGGGGTCCGATAGAAACATGCGTGAACGATATCATGATGCTATGGCTATCGTTTCTAAGTTTGGTAAGCCTGATTTATTTATAACTTTTACATGCAATCCCAATTGGAGGGAAATTAAAGAAAATCTTTATAAAGGCCAGAACCCTTCGGATAGACCTGATTTATTAGCTAGAGTTTTTCATTTAAAATTATCTAAATTATTACACGATATTATTAAAAAAGATTTCTTTGGCAAATGTTCGGCGTATGTTTATACCATAGAATTTCAAAAGAGAGGAATACCTCATGCTCATCTGCTCATTATATTAAGCGAAAATAATAAAATTGAAACAACCGAGTGTATAGATAATTTTGTTCGAGCTGAAATCCCAGATAAAAATATCGAACCCCGATTATATGATATTGTAACTCGCTTTATGATACATGGAACATGTGGTATTTTGAATCCTCACTCATCATGCATGGAAAATGGTTCGTGTACAAAAAAATTTCCGAAAGATTTTCAAAAAGAATCTCAACACAATGCGAATCGATATCCATTTTATCAACGTAGATATGAGGGTTTTATTCATGTCGGAGGTAAGCCAATTGATAATCGATATGTAATCCCTTATAACAAATGTCTATTATTAAAATTTAATGCACACATAAATGTTGAAATATGTACATCAATAAAATCCGTCAAATATATTTTTAAGTACGTTTACAAAGGATACGACTGCGCTAATATAGATCTTAAAACTAATTCGCTTCAATCTCATGATGAAATTAGAATGCATATAAATGCCCGATATGTAAGTGCATGTGAAGCCATGTGGAGATTATTAGAAAATCGTATGCATGATCGATCTCACGGTATGAATCGATTAGCAATACACTTGCCATTTCATCAACCGATATATTTTATAGAAGGACAAGAACGTCAGGCATTAGAGAAATCTGCCAGCAGAAATACTACATTAACTGCCTGGTTTGAATTAAATAAAAATGATGTTAATGCCCGTCAATATTTATATGTCACTATACCATATCATTATACTTTCAGCGATAATAAGTGGAAACTTAGATAAAACAATATAATTTCAAGGATGTATACTGTTGATCCTAAATCCGGCGAGAGATTTTTCCTACGTTTATTATTACTTCATGTTGTTGACGCCACTAGTTTTGAATATTTGAGAACTGTAAATGGAGTTTTATATAATACTTTTAAAGAGGCGGCTTTTAAAAGAAATTTATTGGTTGATGACAAGGAATGGGAAGCATTTATGGAAGATGCGTCAACATTTTTAATGCCCATACAGTTGCGTCAATCTTTTGCCTTTATTTGTATTTTATCAGCCAGAAAATCCAAATAACCTCTGGGAAAAATTAAAAAAATATATAATAGAAGATTTCGCACATACCCATACAGATTCTATTGCAATTAATATGGCCTTATCAGATATAGAAAAAGTATTGCACGACCATGGTTTTCGTTGTAGTAATTTCAATTTGCCTGTTCCTACTTTAATAGCTCAGGATGATTTTTATAATAATGATCTTGAGGCAGCTGAGGCATTGAAACTAATTACTAAATTAAATTTTTTACAAAAATCAGCCTTTGATTTAATCGTTCAATCTATCGAAAATAATGATTTTCCTCAGCGTTGTTTTTATATTGATGGTCCAGGTGGATCGGGAAAAACTTTTTAGTATAATACCCTAATGTGCTACATTAGAGGACGCAACCAAATAGTTTTACCGTTTGCAACAACAGGCATGGCCGCTATTCTTTTAAAAGGGGGTAGAACAATACATAGTGGATTTAAATTACCTATTCCGATTGTTGATAACTCTGTATCTCGCATGAGTCTTCATTCCCCTGATGCTACTGTTATTAAAAGGTCCAAATTAATTATTATCGACGAAGCCACAATGATGACTAAATACGCTTTACGCTGTATCGATAGATTACTTAAAGATATAATGCAAACACAGTTCCCATTCGGTGGTAAAGTTATATTATTGGGCGGCGATTTTAGGCAAACTTTACCTGTCATTCCAAACAGTTCAAAAGCAGATATTATTGAATCGTGTCTTAAGTCTTAAGTCTTCTGATTTATGGGTTTATTTTAAAGTTTTCCACCTGAATGAAAATATGCGGTTATCTTCTGAAGATGTTGAGTGTAATTCCTGGCTTTTGAATGTTGGAGAATCTTTATCAAATGTTTCCAATCCTTTACTTCCTCCAGATTCGATTGAAATCCCAAATTCATTATTAGAAAATTCACTAATCAATAAAATATATGGAAACTCCATACAAATATCTGATATTAACCTATTTTCAAAAAAAATTATATTAACCACTAAAAATAACATAGCCCTAAATTTAAATAACGAAATTATTCAAAAACTACCAGGAAATTCTAGGATATATTTTAGCGCTGATTCTATACAAACAGATAATCCTGAGGATTTACTTAATTTCCCCATTGAATTTCTTCATTCTCAAACCCCATCAGGAATGCCTCCTCATATTTTAAATCTTAAAGTTGGGACAATAATAATGCTTCTTCGTAACATGAATCCCAGCAGAGGCTTATGCAATGGGACACGACTTCTTATCAAAAATTTACAATTTCATAGATTCTGAAATATTATCAGGGACGCATAATGGCCATCGCGTTTTTATTCCTCGAATTGATTTTTCCCCGAGCGATTCCCGGTTGCCTTTCATATTAAAAAGACGCCAATTTCCTATAATTCCTGCTTTTGTTATCACTATAAACAAAAGTCAAGGTCAAACATTCGACAATGTCGGCCTCTTTCTTCCTGAACCTGTGTTTTCCCATGGTCAGCTCTATGTCGCTTTAACACGTTGCAGATTTAAAAAAAATATGAAAATAAAAATATTACCTACAAAAAACCAGGGCACACTTTTGAATGATAATAGAGTATTTACTCTTAATGTCGTATATCAGGACGTATTAAATTCTGTAGCTTCAAGTTAATTCATCAAAAACGACACCACATCGAGCAAAAACATCATAGACACGATACCATCATCATCATCAGTAAATTTTATTTTATACTTCCAATTTACACGTTTTATTTCCTGTTATTTACGGCAAGTTACGAGCAAGGAAATTACAAAATAAACGACACCACATCGACCAAAAACATCATAGACACGATACCATCATCATCATCAGTAAATTTTATTTTATACTTCCAATTTACACGTTTTATTTCCAGTTATTTACGGCAAGTTACGAGCAAGGAAATTACATAAAAAAACGACACTACATCGACCAAACATCATAGACACGATACCATCATCATCATCAGTAAATTTTATTTTATACTTCCAATTTACACGTTTTATTTCCATTTATCAAAATTTTTTTAAAAAATTTAATTTATATCAAAATGTTTTTACAATAATTATGGAAAGTTATTTAACTATATAAGAATGTTTTTTCACATTATGAAAATGTGTTACAACAAATCATATTAATACTGTAGATAGAAATTTATTATTTAAAAATTAAAATTTTAATTTAATTAAAATATTGGCGCCTTGTTTCTTGCAAGAATTTTAAAACACACCCATTTATTTCAACATGTTTTATAGTCCAAACCGAAATTATTTTCAAAAATAGCCGGGAATTGTAGATCTCTAAATAACAAAAAAATATAACCGCCCATCAGTAATAAATCCTAAATTCTCATAAATAATTGCATAATATAATATAATATATGTAAAAACTAAAGGATATAAAATTATAATAAAATGTAACTAATCAAATTAAGATATTATTTAACTAATGACAATTTATCTTAATCTCTTTTGCTTGGTTCGAACTAGAGATGGGCGCGGGCGGTGAAATAACACGTGACCCATCGTGTCATGGTGGGTCACAGCTTGAGTGCGAATAATTTTAAATAATTAGGCATGACTGGGCGTGACGAGCCTTCCCAAAAATATTTCCCGAGTGTGATCGGGCGTGAACATAAATTTCGTGTGAATTACTTTAATTTTTAAAATTGTTTCTTTATAAATTTGCAATTTTATAATTATAATATATATTTTCTAATTTAATTTAGTTCCTTTTTTAAAAAAGAATAATTTTTGAAAACAAAAAATCTTCCGCATAAACAACATCCGGTAATCATGCCACTAGTTCTATTTTCTTTTTATGTTTAGGTGTTTTACCACGAGACTTTTTGCTAAATTTTGCTTAAACATTTTGTAGAAAAGACAGTTATATTTCATTTGTAAAGATTAGGCCAAAATGTTGGTGTTGGGCAACAAAATATAAAATATATACTTATGAGTCGGAAAACTCTCATGAGTATTATATCTCCAAAAATATACGATGAAATTAAGATTAAAAGCATGATCAATAATAATTACTTGTCCATAACCACTGATTTTTGGATGAATGACTATAAAAATCGAAGTTTTTTAATCATTACAAGGACATATTATCATCAAGGATTTTGAATTAAAAACATTTATTTTGGCCATAAGGGAAATGAAAACAGGCGACAATATTAAAAGTAAGTCAATTCAATTCTATAAGAATACAGAGAAGTATAAAATTATTTATGTATAGTTTTGTGACTGATAACGAAGCAAATCTTATAAGTGTATTCAAAGATGACGAAATGCTAGCATGTATATGCCATATACTAAATATTATTATGCATTATATTTTTGACAATTGTTTAACTGAAATAGCTTTAAAAATAAATGGTTTAAAAAAAATATTACAATATTTCAAACAATCTACAGCTAATAGCAAGCTAAGCCACAACCTTAAACAAGATGTAATAACGAGATGGAACTCTGTATATATCATGATAGAGAGTTTCTTAAAATCATATTCTGAAATACAGGTGTACTTGTTTAGCAAGCAAGAAATAAATATATTAGCTACAATTGATATCAACAACATCCGCGAGTTAGATAAATTTTTATCAATATTTAAAGAATGCTCGGATAATCTGAGCGCAGATTCTCATCCCACAATAAATGAAGTTTATCTATGGAAACAAAAATTAGTAAAATTTTGTTAACCTTCTGAAAGTGATACAATAATAATTAAAACCTTAAAAAACATAACAATATTTTTTAAAACCTTAAAAAAACATAACAAGATTTTTTAAAACCTTAAAAAAACATAACAAGATTTTTTTAGCCACTACATAAGGTAGTCTTAATTCTAGATCCGAATTGTAAAAGTCTTAAGTTTTTAATAGAAGAAATTAAAAACACCGTGAATTTTCGGGCGTGACGGGCGTGAATCAAAATATTGCCTTTCGTGAGCGGGGGTCGGGTCGAAAATTTTTTAGTGGTAAGCGTGAATGGGCGTGAATTTTTTTATTACCATCGTGAGCGGGCGGGCCTGGAATAAAAAATTAGGCCCACGCCATCCTCTAGTTCGAACCATCTCTTGTAAAGGATTTAAGTTTCCTTGTAAACGATATTGTCTTTTGTCTCTCAACCTTTTGTTGCTTATCTTGTTCAACATATGTTACTTGTTTCTACCAATCTCCCGTAATCTATTGTGCATTTCTCACTTTTCTCTATTATTCATGGTTTCTAACAACTGCTAATAAATGATAACAAATTCTTATAATGATAAAAACCTCTTGTTAGAGGCGACGACATAAAAATTTCTATAGGAGTTTAAATTTTTTAAGAAAAATTGATGTCTAAAATATGAATCTGTCTATATTATATATTTTGTATAATATTTTAATGGGGGGGGGGGGGGGGGATTTAACCCGATCTTACAACTCTTGCACTTTAACAAAATTCATCTTCCATTACTTAAAATTATAAACAAATTTTTTTTTCCTTTCTCTTCAGAAATCTTTTATCTCATAATTAGTATCATTCAAAAAAAACTATTTCTTTATTCTGCTTGGATATTTTATCTACAAGCTCTATGCGAACCAACTTCTTTCTTGTATCAAATTTTAAGGCTCTTAATATTATATTATTTCTTATTCTACATTCAACTGTTCTAAACCATTACTTATACTCTATTTTTTTGTTTCCTATTTAAGGCAAAGTCTTGATTATATATCTGGTAAACCATTTTATTTACCTGCTCTGAATCTTATTTCAAACTCTAAGTTATTTACTAAAAGCAACCATTTCTGCAGCCTAGGTGACAGCATTAATTCCTAAGCTTCCTTTTCAATTGTAGAATCTTTTTCGATGCTATTGTCTAGATAAAAATAAACAGATTTCTAAACATTATCGATTATTGTAAAAATTAGGTTTCTCTACCATTTCTTCTTTGGTATTTCAAAACTTTCGCCTTACTTTTTTTCAGGCTATTACCAAATTAATGTTGCATATTTGATCTCATATCTTATTAATTATCTACAAAAAAATCCAATCTTTAATTGAGATCGATTATGGCCTTTTATTCCTATGAATGCCGGTCATTTCTGATGATTTTGGTAATATTCCAAAATATCAACCTGACTGTGCTTTACTCTATAAAAAATAATAGGGAGCACCTTAAAATTGGAAAAAAAATAAAATCGAATTTTTTTTCCAAATGTTGGAGGCAAGATTATTTTGAAATTATTTTTTTTATTTTTTTAATAGTTTATATCGAGACATTTTATCTATATAAGAGCTATTTAGAAATTAAAAACAAATTGGGATATATTGCATTGCATAAAAATATATATTACATAAAAAATGAGGTATTTTTAGAATGCATATAATAATGATATAAAACAGCTTAAATCGGATTAAATCAGAAAAGGTAGAAAAATTACAATAATATGATAATCTTTTTCAATATTTTTAGTAATATTAACAGCACTTTTCCCTGATTAGTTATTATTTGCAGACATGTGACTTGTCAGTATATTTTTAATATATGTAAAAGAATTCTACTGACTTAGAGGAGCACAGCATTTATCGTCTTAAATGGAACTATATTTATGACTTGCATGCAAAAGTGGATTCATAAGGTGAAAAATGTGCCCACATTAATCAGTAGGGGAGACTGGGTTAAGTAAAACCCAGGAACCATTTAATCTCATTTTTAAATTAAATACACCAGAAGGTTAAAATTTTATCCTAGCTTTTGTTAATTTACATATATAGACAAAAAATCTTTTGAAATAATTTATTAATAAAATTTTAATTAAGAAATACAATTTTGATGAAAAATTCAAAAGATTTTTACATGACAAAATTTTAATTTTTATTAAAATATTTAATCATTTATATATAAAATAAATTTTATAGAAAAGTTACTCTTTTATTAATTGAGAAAGTTTAATGAGTATTTATCATGTCGAGATATTATGTAAATCATGATTAGTAAATTTAGAGCTAGCGGGGTTTGCTAAACCATACATGTAAAACCATTTGAATGATTTTTTAAAATAATAATTATATTATTAGATATGGTGTGAAAATATAAACCAATAAAAGTAATAAAGGTCAATCATTTTATATTAATAATTAATTAGAAGTATACTAAAATTTGATAAATTGACATTATAAAGAAATTAGGCTATTAAGGTATTGCAAATCAAAAAGAATCACTAGCATACTTACAGTAAATTTGTTTTATTTTTAAAATATAATCACAATCATTTTACGTAAAAGGA